TAAAAGAGAACTATTTTTAAATTTCTATTAAGGGCATAACAGATATTTTTATTGGTTAGCATTCTGCCATTTTTTTCCTGGATATTAATAAAACAATAAAAGATATTTAAGTACTAGGGAATATAAATCTCAAGAAAGCAAAATAAAAGGGCTCTAAATATTGTAGGTGTCTATTGTAGAAATTTATAATTTTGTATTTTTGAATTCTTTTAAAACAAATGTGCAAAGACTCTAAGTGGTGATTATTTGTTATAGTTATAAATAAAGTGTAATATGTTATGTTATGTGTATAAACGTTAAGTCAAAAGGCAGCTGTTACAGAGACATTGCTGTATAAAGATGGCGGAAATATAATGTTTTTATTTTTATCTTAAAAACAAAAAGCAACAGAATAATAAAATTTAATGCGAGTATTCTCTATTATCGATGATCGAACTAGTATACTAGTAATACTCTCATAAAATTTAATTATTCCGCGCTTTCTGGTTCTAAGACAAAAAAAACATTATTTTTCCGTCATATTTGTACCGTAATATCCCCCTAATAGTTGACTATTGACATAACAAACTATTCCTTATTTTTACCAAAATATCATTTAAATATATATATATTATAAATATCGAACTTAATATTTGTATGTTTATAATCTAAAATTTATACCGTATGATCGAAAAAAAAACGGCGTCCAGTTGGCTCGGAAATGACGATCTTCATTTCATAGCCATCACCGACGCCGTTTTTTTTTATTATACGGTATTTACTTCTTATTTTCCAAATAAAATATTGATACCAAGTTATAAACCTGTAAAAATTTAAAAAATGAAGATGTCAAAAATCAATGAAAGATGGCAAAGAAAGTCTAAATCGTTCAGTATATTTTTTTATTCGTTTTGTATATGTTATCACAGTTTATATTAATTTCATAATTCAATGAGATATGATTAACATATGTTTGAAAATTATGCATAGCATTGTTTTCGTAGATCGTAAGTAAGCAATAAATCAATTCTTACGACTCTTTGAACGAACGAACCGTAGAAACGAACGAGTCGCATTGTGATCCGATTCAATTCTTATTATTCTTTTTTACGACCCGTTCGTTCAATCTTTATGGATCCGTGCTGGTCACGATTTAATTGGACGAATCGTATTCTAAGCTGCGAATCGAATCTCACAATTCATTTTTAATACTCGTTCAAATGGACGACTCGTTCAATCTTTACCCACCTCTATTACAAATCATTCAAAAGAAAATAAATTTCAATATTGTTCGTCCAGTATATTTGATTGTGTAATATCACAATATAACTATCAATTTCATAATTCAATGAGGTGTGATTGACATATATTTGGATATTATGTATAGTATCGCCCGTCGGTCGGTGATCGTTTTAAATGCCAATATTATGATAATTGTGTTTTACTTTATATAAATTAGTAAAATGTATTTTCGAATATTAATAAAATACTATATTTAGTTTATTGTATCAAAAGGAGATTTAACACTATCTATATGATTAATATATGTAGTAGAAAGAGTTAACAAACTTTTCCCCTCATTATATAATTTTTCTATCATGTTACAAACATGATGCGGAAGTAAATAAATAAGATACCTTGAATTCTATAAATTACATTTTTAAATAGTTTGAAAAAAAAATACCATGAAAGAATATTCGTACCAATAATTATGCTAAAGAACTCGAGAAGAGGAGAGCAAAAAAATCCATGGTTCGTTTAGAAATATGTAATAATTATTGTTTTCAAATATGCGATAATTATTTTGTGTTGTGTATTATTAAGACTCACCAATTTCCACCAGGCATTATTTTTTCTAAATAAGTCTAAATTGACTTATTACAGGTTTATTAAATGTCCACTAAAATTAATTTAGAAAACGATTTTATTATTACGATATAATTACATTTTTTTACGATTTTATGAGAAGTCTACTAGAACGAAAAAAATATTTATATTAATTAATTTTGAAGAAAATCAGTACTTTCAAAATCAATACAATTTTAGTACTTATACTTGTTCGAGTAGTAAACTAGTAAGAAAGTAAATCTCAATAATATTGTTCGTTCAATATATGTAAACAATTAAACAGTCCAGAGGAAAACTTGATAAGCGCTAATTTCCTAATTATAGGATTTAACAATATTATAGTAGGTCTAAATGGTCCCTACAAAATGTATAAACTCTGCAGGGCAATAAGTTGTTAAATCCTATGATATATGCCTAGTAAAAATATAGAATACCTGGAAAGAACCTGATAACCACTAGCCGTCCAGTGCTCTCTTGTAAAATTAGTAAAATCATGCTTTTCCCCTGGACCCTTCAATTTCATAATTCAACGAGATAGGATTCACATATTTTTGGAAATTATGCATGACATTGCCCGACGCGACGGTCAAAATTTATAATTTTTTGATTTGAAGAGATGTTTTAACTTCCTTTATATTTTTGAAAATTTTTATATAACAAAAAAATAATGATGACTGAATAACATTTTTCTTTAATAGGTTTCAGTTATTTTTCAGTATATTATATTACATAATTAAGTATACTGAACAAACAATATTATTGAGATTTTTCAATATTTTTTATTCTTCATCATGCATGTGGCCAGCCTAAAGGACAATTTTATAATATCTTGCGATGACATTTGTCATATGTTGCATGCTATTTTTTTGTTACGGTACACCCATAATAATTTAACTTCACATACATTTATTAACAAAATAGTATTTGTTGCAAACATTTTTACGAACTCTTAATAAATTAACGTTAGTGAATGTTAGTAGATTCTATTTCATAACTATTATTATCCCCAAAAGTAACGTGATAGATATTCAATTACAGTTATCATTTCAGATATAGTCTGTTCAACTGTGATAGTTAAAGTAGTGCCTGAGATTTTTCATAAGCATATTTTAGATCTCGTTTGTCGAAGGCTTTTCTAATTCGTTACACAGACTATAGATTTGATTATCATCAACAAAATATTTGGTTCCGCCAATTGGAATCCCCTCAAATATCAAAAAAATATCGCAAATTGGTACCAAATTTAAATGGAAATTGCAAATAAGCTACTCAAAACTATTTATATTAATTATTTTTGAAGAAAATCATTACTTTCAAAATCAATACAATTTTAGAGAATTATAATTGAGTTAATAATTTAATCGAGTAGTAAAATAGTAAGAGAAAGTAACTCTCAATAATATTGTTTGTTCATTATATTTAATTATGTAATATTATAATATAAATATCAATGTCATAATTCAACAAGGTCTGATTACCATATATTTGGAAATTATTGTGGTATGTAAGTTTTTAATTTTCTTTAAATTTTTGAAAATTTTTATATAATAAAAATGAATGATGACTGAATAATATTTTTCTTTAATATGTTTTAAGTATCTTTCAGTATATTATATAATTAAATATACTGAACAAAACAGTATTATTGGGATTTATCAATATTTTCTATTCCTTATCATGTATGTGGCCAGTCTGGGACAATTTTGTAGTTTCTTGCGATGACAGTTGTAACATGTACCGCATGTTATTTTTTTGTTATTGGATTTGCTGATTGAATTTCACATAAGCTTATTAAAAATAGCATTTGTTGCAGGCATTTTTACTAACTCTGTAATAAATTAACGTTAGTGAACTTTAGTAGTTTATATTTCATAACTATTATGATTCTTAAGAGTAACATGACAGATATTAATTTACAGTTATTATTTCAGATTTAGACTGTCCAACTACAGGATCCCTGATAGTTAAAGTAGTGTCTCAGATTTTAATTTAGAAGCATATTTTGGATCTCGTCTGTCGAAATCTTTCTCGATTCGTTACACAGTATATATTTGATTATCATGAACAAAATATTTAGTTCCGCCAATTGGAATCCCCCAAATATAAAAAAAATAACGCAAATTGGTACCAAATTTAAATGTAAACTGCAAATAAGCTACTCAGCACAAGATAGCTTGAATTCTCTGAATTACATTTTTAAATGGTTTGGATACCATGAAAGGATATTCCCAACAATAATTATCCTAAAGGACTCGCAAGAGGAAAGCAAAAACATGCACGGTTCATTTAGAAATATATAATAATTACCTTTTTTTTCCTTTAAAAAATATATTTATATTAATTATTTTTGATTAAAACCAGTACTTTCAAATTCAATACAATTTAGTACTTATAATTGACCGAGTACTAAAATAGCAGTCTTGAGTTTTTGCATCGTCAAGTTGTTGATAAATCTTATAAGATAGGCTTTTGTAAACTTAAAATTGGTTATTAGTTATATTATTAAATGGTTTAGTTATAGTTTCATTATTAAATGGCGGTAGGCGAATGCGATTTATAAAAAACTAAAACCTGTAATAATATTAACAATTTGTTTAATATATCATATGACAACCAAAAGACATAAGATAATTTATTAACACGTTTTTCTCAGCAACATACACTGAAAAAATAGTTTACGGCGAAAACACTGAAAAATTTAATATGCCATTATTTTTACGAAAAATAATGATACATATTTTTAAATATTGTCGAAGAGCGCCAATAACCAGATTGCTGAGAAAACAACACAAAAATTTTAAGGTGCGTGTTTTATTTTAATAGTTTTTTTTTTATAATTAATTGACGCAATTGTGTAGAAGACCTATATTTTGTTAGTTAGATTGATATTTTAAATGTGTATTTTAGTATTGTGATTTATGGACTTTTTTAGATAACAAAACTTTTGAAAATGCCACCAAATTAATGGGTCAATTATTACGTCAAGAGTTTAAAGAAAACTAAATTTATTTAATAAACGAACCTGAATCCAAGAAAAAATTAAATATTTTTGATATTTTTAAATAGTTGAACAAAAATTCAACTATTCAGAAAAAATATCTTCTTAGAAAGCCTATGGTATAATACAGTTATAAAATATACACAAAGCACAAAAAAAATAAATACATACTTACAAAAATATTCGAAAATACAAACACGGTTTCGGTTTTCAAACTGGTCGCCAAAATAACTGGAACAACATCTTCTTACTTCGGTAATTTTGTTTTGACTGACCTTCAGTCAGTTTCTTGGACGAGGAACGAAATAGAGACAACTGCGCGGTAAAACGAGACGCCTGACAAAATCACACAGGCAGCAACGTGACCTGCCGTCCTCAGCCTCCCACGAACCCAGCGGTTGAACTTTGTTTAAATTTATTTCTGGAGTCCTTTGTAGGGCATTCGCCACAGCGCTATTGTGTAGTTACCGATCGAGTGCATTGTTTTGCTGCTTATTTTCCAGTTCCTTTTTGCATCTTGCGAGTATTCAATTTAAGAGTTTTTAATAGCTACTCGAATTTAACCAATCATTGTCAAGGACAAACTGATGGATTCTACAATAAAAGGGGAAATGAGAGATGGACTGAAGTGAGAGGGGAGCTGGGGTTACGTTTTCAAGGCCACATGTAACATTATAAAAAGCAAATATACGTTCAAAAGAAAAATTAAACAAAGGATATTTAAAACTTGGGTTAAAACTGTAAATCCGTATTCGTCGAATGTCAATCCATTCACTGGATGTTACGAGGGTTGTCTTTTATATTTTGTATATAGAATCATAAGTATGTGCCATTAAATGTCAAAATTAACTATCATATTTAGTTAACAGCAAAGTATTAGACCGCTTCGTTTAAAGCTGTACCTAAATTGCATTTTTGACTTTGAATAAAAAGATTAAGGAATGAGTATAATGCTATATGTATTTCCATGTATTCATGCAAGGTAGATGGACAAAGGGCCCTGGAGTGGGGATCCTTGACAGTTCTGTTTGACGATTCATTTGACACATTTGAATTTGATTTGAAATTTTATAGATTTGTCAGTCCATACTGAGCTTATTTTATGTTATTTATTAGAGGTGAGTGTTTACTAGAATTCCTCTTAGCATACAATCTTGAAGTTCTCAATATAGGGAACACCCCTACGTTTGTGACAAAAACGCGGGCGGAAGTATTAGATTTAACAATCGGGAGTGCTAGTGTAACTAGTTACGTGAAAGATTGGAGGGTCTCAACGGAACCTTCCCTATCAGATCACAGAATCATCGAGTTCAAATTAGGAGGAATCATACTCCAAACTGAAATTCGAAGGAATCCAAGAAAAACCGATTGGGAACTATACCACACCAATCTCGTAGACAACCTGGACCAAATAGATGCAGGTAGGGCTAGGAACCACCAGTATCTAGAATGGTACGCAAAGGAAGTCAGTGGTGCAATATGAATCTAGTTGCCCAAGTAAGGGCATACAAAAAAGTAACAACAAGCCCTGGTGGAACAAAAAGCTGGCCAATCTTAGATCGGAGGTCCGACGACTCTTCAACAGAGCCAAACCCAGCGGCGAATGGCAGCTCTACGCCGAGAAACTAACTGAGTATAATAAGGAGATTAGAAGGGCAAAGCGGTCTGACTTCAGATGCTTTTGCGAAAACATCACTTCAACTACTTATGCAGCTAGGCTACACAAAGCTATGGCCAAGAGTGGACCCATCCCCAACATGGCACTTAAGAAACCTGACGGAAGCTGCACGGAAGGAGATGAAGAGAGAGCTAACCTCCTACTTCATATACACTTTCCAGGTAGCATATCTATTGATACGCAAGTAGCTCCGACCGAACCCCACAATCCTCGCAGGGAAGACTGGGAGACGGCCAAGCTAGTAATAACAGAACAAAAACTGATATGGGCTATTGACACCTTTCAGCCTTATAAAACAGCAGGAATAGATGGGATTTTTCCTGCCCTTCTAAAGAAGGGTCAGGAAATAGCTACACTCCATCTATTAAACATTACAAGAAGCGATGGGACAGCTTAGCGATGGGACATTTGACCAACCATTTGGAAAAGAGCGAAAGTAATCTTCATACCCAAAATAGGCAAAACCGACTGGCCTAACCCCAAATAATTTAGGCTTATTAGTCTCACATCGTTCATATTAATAACGATGGAGAAAGTAGTGGACTTTTTGCATATTAGAGTAAATCATCTACAGTTAAACCACTGCACGATAGTCAGCATGCATATAGAGCGGGCAAATCCACAGAAACTGCTCTGTACCAGTAAACTGAGCTAATACAGGCAAGCCTGGATAGCAAAGAAACAGCACTTTGTGCCTTCTTGGACATTGCAGGGGCGTTTGACAATATACCTCACAAGGTGGTCAAGCGATCTCTTGAAACAAGAGGGGTAAACAGTACGATAATTCGCTGGTTTTGGGAAATGCTCTCAACACGAACAGCAGAGGCTGAGATAGGTACCAAAACTGTAGTTGTTAAAACAACGCAAGGAACTCCACAAGGTGGAGTGACCTCCCCCCTACTGTGGAGCTTGGTAGTGGATGAACTACTGGAAGAATTAACTCTAGCGGGAATACACTGCATAGGGTACGCAGATGACATAGTCATCATTGCACGGGGAAACATGAAGGCACCCTGTGTGATATTATCCAAAGGGGACTCCGCATCGCTGAGAGATGGTGCAGGACTGTCGGGCTGAGTATTAACTCAGATAAAACCGCAGTAGTGCCATTCACCAGAAAGCGAAGTTTGAAAAACTTCAAAAGAATCCATCTAGATGGAAAGGAAATACTGCCATCACAGGAAGTGAAATATCTGGGAATAACCCTGGATAGTAAACTTCTCTAGAACAGGCATATTAAGAACATTACCAGCAAAGCCACAAAGGCTCTCATGATATGCAGAAGACTGGCGGGAAATAGGTGGGGCTGCGCCCCTAACATTTTGCGCTGGATGTATACCATGACAGTAAGACCCATGATTACTTATGGAGCAGTTGCTTGGTATACAAAACTAGAGCAACGTACAGCAAGGCAAAACCTGTGCAAAGTACAGAGACTGGCATGTATCTGCATCACAGGTGCCATGAGAACATGTCCAACAGCAGCAATGGAGGTCATTCTAGACCTAACTGCACATTGTCGTCGGTAGGTATGCTTAGAATGGTTACTGACGGAAACAGTACTGGGAGAATTTTCAGGTCAGGGGCTTGGAACACCCTCAAAAAGAAAATTCCACTTCTCCAACTCCCAGTGGATGACATACCAAGAATTTACAACTTTGAGAAACACCTCACTGTAGTATTGAGTAATAAAAAGGATTGGAAGAAAGAGACGCTTACTCAGCGCTTACTCACCTTCAAAACCAAAGCAGGGATAGGGATAGGAGTATTTGGGCCAAAAACTGAATACTCCGAACCAATGGGCACCTACCCCAGTATCCTTCAGGCAGAAATTTGCGCTATCGAAAGATGCGTACAATTTATCTTAGATAGGAACTATCGAAAACAGGAAATTGCCATCCTATCCGATAGTCAAGCAGCACTTAACGCGATCAACTCAGTAACCATCAATTCGAAGTTGGTCAAAGAATGCCTGGAGAAGCTCAACAAATTAGGCAAAGAAACAAACATTCACAACCAAGGGATAGAAGGCAATGAAAAAGCAAATGATCTAGCTAGAAAAGGAGCGAACACTCCACTAACTGGACCAGAACCGTTCTGTTTTCCAAACGGGAACCAACTGAAAGCGGAACTGAAGAATCTGGAAGACTCCATCCGTAACTTGGAATGGGTGTCCTCCAACGGTCTAAGACACTCGAAAAAGTTCCTTAGAACTTATGACCGAGAAAAATCAAAGGTTTTCCTTGATTTAAGTAAAAACAATCTTCGGATTGTCACGGGGTTTCTAACAGGACACTGTCTCCTCAACGAACACCTCAGTAGGCTGAAACTGAGAAACAACGGCGAATGCAGATTTTGTGGGGAAAACGGGGAAACCCAAGAACACCTTATTACTGAGTGCGCCGAGACGACCATTCGTGCCATGAACCTTGGTACGTCTGATGTCGAGGATGGAGAACTGGCCTCTGTGGAGCCGTCTCAGATACTGGCTTTTCTTAAAGCCCTGAGACTGTATGATGAGTTATAACTCGTTATAACTCAAGAAAGGGGAACACACAATAGATCTATAAGGTCGCGGTGATTAACTCCCCTCCTAAACATTCTACATTCTACATGTTATTTATTATTTATTCTACTACTGATAGTTGTAAAAAAATTCTTGAAATCAAAATCTGTTAATTGAACACAACTTACATCTATACAAAAATGCTTTGTTTGTCCATTAGAGGGCACTAAATTTTAAAAAATAAAGACATTTTGAGAACCGATATTTCGAATTTAATGCGATATCTGAGGCGTCTATGATTTCTTAAGTATTTTAACATTTTACTATCACAATAAAAAGAAAGGGAACGAGAACGGTCAAAACTATCCTCAGCCCTATTCTAGCAGAAATGTTTTGCAACTTCAAAGACGACTGATTTTTATTACTATTTATAATGGTCTAAATGAAATGGCCTGGCACCTTAAATTCAGTTAAAATCAGCGTCAATTTTTTTTGTAAACGTAATGACCTATGTCAATAAATTGGAGCTATTATTTAATGTAGAATTATACAACAAATTAACTAAATAATAAATAAAATTTATTCACAATAAAGTATAATAATTAAAATAAAGGGCGATTTTGATCCGTGTCCGCTTTCACACCAACAAATTCTCGTTGCTGGCGGTCAGCAGGTTCGGCAACGATTTGCACGTGCCAGGTGCGTGCTCAGTCTTGTTGGAAATCAGCTTCCTGTTCCCGGTGGCCGGACATTCGATATCCAATGCCACGATATTATCTCTGAAGTACTGGCCGCCATCGGGACTTTCGCACAGGTCCTCCACGTGCACGTCCGCTTTTTGGACGGACGAGCCGCAACTGTCCAGCCGTTTGGCCTTCGGACACTCGGCCTCGAACACGTAGCACAGCTGGACGTCGCTCTGCGAGTTGGAGTTGGGATCGGATGGAGGGACGCTATAATCTCCCACGGGGGGAATAGGGTGAGTTAAGAGGTTCTCCTTCGCGAAGATGTATTGGTGGGTGGTGTCCAACGGGGGAGGTTTTTCTGGTGCGTTCTGCACTAAAATGATCCTGGAACAATAAAATAGTTAAATTAGAAAAACGATATAAAAAGAAAAAACTACATTGAGCTTCAAAAGGTTAGATGTAAGCACTAAATGGACAACATAAAAAATTGTTCGGATGTATGCTTTAAACTAGCGGATGCTAGTTTGTGTCTCACTCAATTTAGAATTTTTCTGTTTCGTATTTGAAGATAGAAAGATTTTCTAATGTAACTTTTTGCGACCATGCCAATTTTCTACCTCAATTTTTTTTAAAAAGTCAATTTTGATAGATACAACGCATCTTAATTTTTTTAAATGGAAACCCGCACATATTTTAGCGTCTTCCGGTAGACATATTTTAGCTAATTTCAAAAATATATGGTTTGTATATTTGCGCTTACTATTTACGATAAACAGTGCATTTAAAAATTGAATGTTCCAGAATCATTTTAAGTGTTTCAACCCAATTTTACATTTTCCTGTGTCCTATTTTAAGATAGCAAAAAGATATTTTAATGTAATTTTTCGCGAGGATCCCGATTTTTTATCTGAAACTCTTTTAAAAAGTCAATTTTAACAGATATGACGCCATCTTGATTTTTTTTAAATGAAAACCTCCACATATTTTAGCATCATCCGGTAGACAAATTTTAGCTAATTTCAAAAATATATATTTTAGTATACCTTTCGCTTACCGTTTTCGATATTTAAAAATGAAATGATCCAGAATCATTTTAACTCTCCAAAAAAGTCCCATGTTTGAGGTAGAAATTAGGCATCCTAACGAAATTTACATTAAAATATCTTTTTAGTATCTTAAAATAGGTAACAGGAAAATTTAAAATTAGCTGAGACACTTAAAATGATTCTGGAACATTTCATTTTTAAATGGTATATCGAAAACGATAAGCGAAAAGTATACTAAACTATATATTTTTGAAATTAGCTAAAATATGTCTACTGGAAGATGCTAAAATATGAGGGGGTTTCTATTAAAAAAAATTAAGGTGGCGTCGTATCTGTCAAAATTGAGGTTTTATAAAATTGTGAGGTAGAAAATTTTATTTTATTGATTTTATTGATACGTTTTTTTTGTGTTCTACAATGTCCATGTATGTTCTATTTGTAATTTTAATGACGTAAATATTTTGGAATTGTATGATATTTTTTATTATTTGTATATTTTAGTGCTATTGTTTGTTTTTTAATTGCTTTGTCGATTAAGCTATTTTGGCTCTTTGTACAATAAAGCGTTATTTATTATTATTATTATATCGTTTTATCTCAACTACATCCGTTGGTTTCTCGTGGTTGGAGGAGTGACTCGTCTCAACCATGATGGTGAAGTTACTTGTATAGAAATAGCTTTGCTGTATGGCAGGATTACAGATTTTTGCATAAGTTGGTACTGGTATTGTTCTAGGTCTATTGCCTTCAGCGATTCAATTAGTGTTTTTGGTATTACACCCATATTCGATAGTACTAATGGGATGACCCGGACTCGATCGTATTTCCACATATCCTTAAATTCAAAGCATAAATCAATATATTTGATAATCTTCTCTCTGTATGTTTGTGTTAGGTTATTGTTGTTTGTCACCGCAAAATCTATGAGCATCACTTCATTTTCTTTTTTCTTCTTCACTACTATGTCTGGTTTGGTGTGTTCTAGTTTTTCTAGAACTTCTTTCTTTTCTTTCTGTTCTTCGTTTTCTTTGTTCTAGTCTGGTTTTTATTGTGTTCTAGTCTTTTATCTGTTATTATAGTTCTGTCCCAGTGCATTTCATATTCATTGTTTTCAAGGATTGTAGCAGGTTCGTAGTGATAATAGTTATTATTATCATTATTATTGTTAAAATCGGCATCCTCGCATAACATTAAAAAATATTTCTACTATTTTTAAATAGGAATCAGAAAAATTGTATATTGAGTGAGACACTTAAAATGATATCCCTGTACAAGGTTTTCAGAAATATTTGGTACCATAAAAAGTGAATTTATAAATTTTTCTTAATTTTCTGATCGTTTTTAATTTTTATTTGGTCTTTTGACAGTGCAGGTAAAACCTCCGAAAAAGTCTACAAGTTTTTTACTACCTCCAATGAGCGTGCAGGTTCCGCACTAAGTATCACTAAAAACCTTGAAAAATTTAAATTATTTTTTTGGCGATTTGTCTTCATCAATCTAAACATAAATTTAGGCTGTAGTGAATACCGACTATAGCTTCATTTATGAGATGGATTAGACAGAACAATGCAACAATGAATCAGACAAATATCTGCAATTGTAAAAATAGGTCGATAAAAATACATTAATTGTTGGGCAATTTATGACTGTAGAAAGAAAAAAATATAGATAACAAAATAATGTTGTTTTATCTGTAAAGTAGGATGTATATATTTGTGCATAATTACACATTTTTAAAATTTTAATTGCTATAAATAACATTATGTTAATCTTAAATTTAGTACCTATGTTATATTTTATTTTGAAAACATAATGATATAACACACTTAACTTCCTGGGACGCATGATACCAAATAGGTTGGAGCAATGCCAAAATAATAATGAAATAAGTAATAGCTGAGGAAAGAAAAATTTAAACAGATTTTTTTAGTTCAATCTCATACAGTTAAGATCCATACACTCACCGATACAAAAAACTAAAAATTTTGATGTATTTTAAAGTTTAATATATTTTGTTCTAGTGGGCCTATTTTGATGATTTTTTAAGCAATATGTAGCTAAATTATCGTACATTTTAGTATTTCTTTTTCAATAAAAAATGAAAGTTCTTATTTCTCAATTATACGCGGGAAAACAAAATGTTGATATTTATGTGAAAGTTTGAAACACCCTGTGGAATATGTTAAGACAGCAAGGAATTTAAAAATCATTTTATCGTCTAGATACATCCTTTATCGATAGTTTGCTTTTTGGTTCATTTCAATAGGTTACTTTTGTTGGAGAAATTCGCTTTTGAAAAAGACACTAACATTTTTTGTAATATTTGCATGAAAACCATGCTTTTGCTTTTTGTCCTAGTAAGTTGTGATTCCGAAGCAGACTTTCTTGACATTAGGTTTGCTTCGATTAATCTTCTTCTCACATGTACGTTCACTTACATGTACCTACGTTCCTTAGGTGCTATTCATTATAACTTTGAAAAGCTTACAAACGGCGCGGCGGTTTCTTAGCGATAAACTTACAATAAGTCAATTGTTTCGATTCAAAGTCCAGTCCTCATACAACGGTTCCTGGACGTCTAGCATGTGAACTTCCCTCGGGGAAGCGACTGCACTGTACTTCGTGCACACCTAAATCTGTTTGCGACATAATTTTAATTTCTATGATCAATTAAAGTAACTATAGTGGATACAACTTCTGGACTTAAAATCATCTCTGCTAGAGTTACTGCACAACACAATAATAATATGATTTTTCAATAAGTGACATTACATAAATTATAAACATTATTTCATAGGTTTCTTGACTGGGACCAAAAGCACAGGTATGGTTTTAATGTAAAAATTACGAAACATGTTAGTGTCTTCTTCAAAAGCGAATATCTCCAAAAAAAGGTTTTGGGAGAAACCAAAAAGTATATAATAATAATAGCTTCAGTATATAGCGTTTAACGCCTTGGGAGTAGCAAAGTACAGCTCGCCATGCTAGAGCCGTTCGATATACAAGGAAGATAATGTGGCTAGCACTACGCTTCAACCGCCTATTATTACCTCAGGATTGCGCGTCCCAAGTACTTATTTAAGGCTGAGATAAAATATTAGGTTTATGTACCTAAACTATTTTTATTTTATTAAAAATAGTCGGCTGATAAACTGCCGGCTGTAGGATTCGAACCCACAACCTTTAGATTGGTAGACGAGAGCTGTACCTCTACGCCACCGGGCACCTGTACCAAAAAATAAACTATCAAAAAAAAAAATGAAACTATCGAAAAAACATGTACGTAAATAATAAAATGATTCCTTGTTTTTTTAATATATTCCCCAGGGCGCGGCGTTCCAAACACCAAAAGAACAATATTTTGTGTTCCCTCGTATAATTGACACATGGGAACTTTCATTTTTTATTTAGAAAAAGATACTTTAGAATCAAATAATTTAGCTGCAAATAAAGCTTAAAAGATCATCAAAAGTTAAACTATAAAACTTTAAAATACATCAAAATTTTGAGGTGCCTGTTTTTAGTGTATATATAGATGTTAGCAATGAATGACGATCGCGCGCTTTTACGTATATATCCACCTGTGTGAAAAACCTTTTCATTTTACACTATAGTCATCTGTTGAAATCCTTCCTGTAGTAATAAGTAGTTGGTTAATTTAAATTTATATCAAAGAATATACCTAGCTAGAAAAAGAATGGACTCTGCCATACTGAAAAATGGTTCTACAGAAGTGGCATCCTACGGAAGTAGCATCTATTGAGTAGGGCTTCTTTTAAATGGATCGAAGCGCGGGCTTTTTAAATGAGCGTATTTATTGAATTTTGCTCTAAAATAATTAAATTTGATTATTAAATCTTATTTTTTACACAAATTCAACAATACTAATAAGTATCGTTGTGATGTGTAAAAAATAAGATTTAACAGTATAATTTATACAATTATTAAATAAAATTAAAGCCAAACATGTGTAAATATTATTTATTATTTAAAGTTTTTATTTATATGTCAAATATTTAAACATCGTTTATTATAATAAGACCAACGTAATACGCCCAAAGTTTTGTAAATGGAGTAAATATAAATAGGTACTTAAATGATGGCAAAAATAAAAGACTTACATTATATTTTTAGGGCCACAAACAAAAGGAATTGTCTAATAAAAACCATAGACTAATGTCACTACTAGAGATAGATTGGACACTGATATAAAACAAATAAGTCCATCATTTAGAGCCACGTGGTGATCCGGAAGAAACTAATGGAGAGTTTTAGCATAACATAATTTTAGCGTTCCGTTGTTTATTAACGCTAACTAAAACGGTAACGTTATTCAAG